GGAGATAGAACAGAGGTAGGAGGCATGGTGGAGAGAGAGTTGCAAAAGGTCAAATAGAAAATGCTTGGCATTTTTACAGTGTATTAATAATAACAAATATGACCTAGATTCTCAGTGGTGTGATTTTATAATAAGATAGAGGTGAAATATATATTACTTACTCCAAGTGATAAAATAGCAAAGGTTATAATAAAAAGAAATATGAGTAGACCAAAAATGAAGAATTTATTTTTGTTTTGTTTGTTTGTTTGGAATTTTTGTTATTGAGTAGCTATAATTAGACTCAGCAGCTGATATTCACCTGCAGACAGCCTCTCTGCTATTCTACTAGGATGTGGATCCAAAGATGAAGTAGAAGAGACAGAGCAGACATGAAATATTCCAGAAGGATAAATCTTTTCCATTCCCTCCTCCAGCCAAAATGTCTATAAATTTAAAAGCATCAAGATTGATTGCCCTTGATCTTCAGCCACTCTCCAACATAAAGATACCACATTGAATTTCAAAGCCTCTCAAAGCGTGTGGAGTCATAGTATTCCCCTTCCCACCATTTCAATGACTTGTATTTATGAGTGTCTATTATCAAAGGAAAGCATACCCCCAGACAAGCACAGAAAAAAGGCACCCAAGTGGCCAGGTAATTCCCTATCTTTCTTTTTCAGTGAACTATGCTAACCAAGAGCTTGAGCTAACTGATGTACCTTCTGAAAACACAACTTCTGCACGTAGCTTCATTTTTTTTCTACTCTAGTCTAAGAAGACCCACCACAAGCAACATAACCCACTAAGAAGAAACAAACTTTCCCTAGTTTTGCTATTTAAATGTTTTCACAAAAATCCAAAAAATTGTACATAGATTCTAAGCTGTTCACTTTCCCTGAGATTTTTGGTTAGCATGAATGTTAGATGTTAACTGTTTAAGTATGATTGGCAAGGCTTACATCTGTTTTTGCTGCTTGAAGAAAGAATAAATGAGCAGGAACGAGATGAAGAGGATCATAAGAGGCCGGTCCTTCAATCCACCCAGTGTGTCAGTGTCAGCAAACGGTCAGTAGCAGGGCCTGCTTGTCAATACTCGCTCCAAAGGTATCTCAAGTGTATTAATTGCAGCAAGGACCCATTATGAATTCTTCAATTTTTTTAAATCTCCAAATAATCTATTTCTAAACTATACCACTTCCTGGAGGTATTGAGTTACATTCGTTTACAACTTAGCAGAAAAGTACTGTTTTAATTTTTCTTTATATTGTTCCTAAGTCTTTCCTATTTTTTAAATTCTATGCCCCCAGATTTCTTTCCAGCTTAAAGATACAGAACCTAAATCTAGTATTTTGGGATTGGACAGCTATGAGCTTATTTAGCTTTTCATATGTATTATTAAGTATATTTTCTTCTATGCCGTTGTGTCCTAGTCATTATTGTCTGTCTACAATTATCTCCTCCATTCATCTCTTATTTAACAGAGTAGTTTAATTTAACATAATGGTATTTTATCAGTGTTATTATAATACTCTTAAGCAAAAAATTATGAAATCTGCACAGTTCCTAATGTTGAAGCGTTAGTTTTGTATATAAAGACAGAATAATGTGTTCTGCTGGGTTTCTACTAAATCTTTTGTGGAATTCTGATATTTTGCAAAAAAAAAAAATGCTACTGAAAATGACACATTCTATAATTAATTACTTTTGGTGAAATACCAATTTAAAAAAACCAACTGCATATCTACGTTAGCAATTTTCTGAGTTCGAGGTTATAAAATGTACTAATTTGGTCATCATGATTTCTATTATGAAAAGTAGCATGTAATGGATTTATGTTAATTATAATGTCTGTAATTTCAAGGAACCAAATGGAAAACAGGAATATCTCTTTTTCTCTGTAATAGTATTGATTTTCTTTCCCTGAGGTAAATAAGAGACTTTCTTGGAAAAAAAAATGTATTTTAAAGAAAAAGAGAAAAAGGTTTTCAACACTGCATGGAAGACATAAATTGATCTAAGAGAGACATAAGCTCAATAAATATTTTTCTATCATAAAAACGTTTCTTTCATAAGAAAAATTCTGTATTCTTAACTAGAAGAGCTATTGTCTCAGCTTTTTATGTCAAAAACTCAATCCATTATTTCTATCTCATAAGCTTTTTTTCATCTCATTTAGATGCAGACTGATTTAACAAGCCATCATTTAAGTGTGTGCGTTGTAATCTTTAAGACTCTTATTTTATACATTAAGAATATGAAAAGCATATGGGAAAGATTTAAAGTATATTTCCTCTTAAAAATCTCTTTGAATTGCAAACTCAGCAAGACCTTAATTAAAATCAATAGGTAAATTAAAAATATGTTTAATGCAAACTATTACTTTTAGTCTATCTCCCAAAACATCTATTTCACACCCCTCTTTTGTTCAATAATCATTCATTGAAAGCGTGTACTGAATAACAGGTACAATATTAGCCAGCAATTTGCATATCGAACAAACAAGATATTAATCCAAAAGCAATATGAAACCAAGGCAAAAGTGACCTGCATTCTCCATGAAACTGCATAGCAAAGGGCCTGAGACTGGTGCTCCTCTTCCTGAGCTGGCTGACTTAAATCACAAGAGTTTGCCTGTGGCTTTAAGAGTTATTCTTTTAGTTACAAGTTTCCTTTCTCACATCTCCACATAGTTTTTCATCTGCAATAAAGCACTTATTTTATTACATCCACATTTGCTTCAAAAAAAGCAGATGTTTTTAATACCATTATTGGATAAATGTTGTCTAAATGCAGCCAAAACAAATCCTGCCATTGATCTCTTCTGAACTTTTGGGCAAGGGTCACAGTGCTCTGGGGTTTATCTTCCTGGTATGAGCTCATCGTTCAGAGTGTGTACCTCCTTTAGGGGCGCAGAATACCATATGCTGTGCAGAGGAAGTGCTGAAGGAGCAACATGTAGTCAGTCAGTGTTTCTCAACCTTGTCTGATTTTAGGAGTCACTTGGGGAGACTTAAAAACACAGATTCCTAGGTCTCCCTAAACTACCAAATCATAATCTCCAGGGGACACATCCACAAGTCAGATTTTTTGCAAGCTCCCCATATGATTCTTTCGATCAGACATGTTTGTGAAACACTATAGTACAAAGGAGACTGATAATTATTTTCTAGGGAAAACACAGTTTATAAATAAACTTTTAAAGCTGGGTAGAGCTGATGGACCTCAGACCTGAAGGATCAGGTAAAGACTTAATGATCCCAGTAGAATTTTAGCAGCTTAAAACTAAGGTAAAGTCTATATGTCTTTCATATTTTCTATAAAATAGGTAAATAACAATCATTATATTTTCACAAGAACCAGTATATGAAACCATCTTTTTTCCTGTGACCACTAAATAGTGAATGGGTATGTGGTTGTGAGAGGAAATCCCTTATGTATTCAAAGAAACAGAAATTAATTCGAGTATGTTGAAATAAAACCTAAAATTCATCTCCTTTGCTCCTGTGGGCTGGATGAAATAAAGTCATGTCTGGCAAAGAGCGCACTACTTTATTTTAGTAAAACTCAAAAATAATTTATAGCTTTTAGAAACTGACTTCGTAAGATGCGTATGGAGGAAACCCCTTGTCACAGAGCCAAGTCCTGCCAAGAAACTACATTTATTGCAATAAATGTAGTTACAGTGAATCCCCTCTTAATGAAGGTATTTGGTCCTGTCTGGATGGAAGAATAAAACCAAAGTCCCAGTCCACTCTCTGGATAGAGAAATCAATAGGTTTGCTAATCTGGGTGTAGTTTGCTTATAAAATATGTATTTCTTAAAATGGAAAATATTACTTTTAATAATTCTTTTCTTTAAAAAGGCTAATACTTGTCTAGACATAATACTATCAGTTTAGAATTACATTCTCTCATAGTTGGTCATACGCAAATGCATCAGATAAAATTATTCTTTTTTTTGTATATTTTGAAAAATTCTCATGATTTTCTAGATGCACTTTATATTTCCCACTGTATGGGATTTTATAAAGTTTAATAATTTTGTGTTTATTTCTATCATTGTCTATACATTTATCCTCTTTAGCTTTCTATTATTTTCCTGAAACTATATTAAATCTACCAGGGTTTTCAATTCAATTCAAGAACTATTTATTGAAGTTGTGTTAAGTGTCACACACTGTACTAAGGCTGTAGGATACCGTGATGAGTAGAATAAATTCTTAAAATATTTTTCTTGATTATGCTTCAAAGTAAAATAAAGTATTCTGCATTCCGAAGTTTGTTTGTTTTTTTTAATTTTTTTTTATTTTGTACAAGTGAAAAACCCTGGCGTGAGAGGATCTTAGTATTAAAAAGTCCAACATATAAAACTCTCACCTCTTACTTAACATTTATCTAGCCTAGGCTTGAAGAACTTCCCTCAATAGAAACTCCCTTCTTTAGAAAATCCTAACTGTTACAAAATTATTCCTTATCATGACCAAATTTGATATCCCTAAATATTCTGACTGTTGGTAATAGTTGCTCATTTCAGGTAGCAGGAAACAACTCCATCACCTGGCTTTGATAACCTTTTTATGTCATAACCTTTATAGCCTAAACATCTCTTTATACCACTTACCATGTTATGGAGACTTTAACCTGTTTGCAACTTATTGTAATTATTATATTTTGCTTCCTTCTGTTACTTTCTTTTGTTTTTACTGAATATAATCTTTTTCCCTTACTTATTTTCTAATGTTTATTGGAATAATCACATTTTTATTAATCATTTTTCTCTTTTTATTGGTTTGAAATTTTTATTTTTTTATTTTTATTCTTTTATTGGTTTTATCTCTAATATTTTTGAGCTATATAAGAAACTTAGACTACCTTATCTGAAAAATCCATGTTTGTTCTTATATTTCCATTAGTATTTTTCTTTTATCTTATTTTATTTTTGTATTTATTTATTTAAAAATGAATTTTCCATTTGACATTTCCAAATACACTTTACTTTTTAACAAGCAATACACTGTCTTTGGGGATAACAAATGTCAATACTAGGAAATTCAATTATAAAAAAATACAACATGTAGTCTGGGGTAGATATAGTCATTTTGGTAACATACATTAAGTGGCACTAATTACACAGTAACTCTAAGGTAACCAACATGAAACCACAGAACTGTAACTGTGCCACAGGTGTATGGCCTTGGGCCTTTCTTGTAGAATCCATTTTCAAAAAACCAGATACCCACGCCAGAGCTATGCCAATGAAACCTGTTAAAGAGTAAAGCACTGAAGTTGTGTCTCATGAGAGTACCTTGCTGTTGACAGATGATAGGCAGGGAAGGTTAGTTATAAAGTAGCTGCAGCCTAATTTGCAAAGTTACCAACTGTTCCTCTTTCTAGACAGAAGCAAGAAGTTAAGAAATTCTTTGAATTTGCCATGGTGTGTCAGGCAGAAGTGTAGAGGAGGGTTGTTAGAGTAGTGGCAAAAGGATCCTGGTAGGCCTGACAGGTTTAACATCATTAAGAATCAGGGTTGGTTTCTAAATACTGGTAACAAGATGACGTGCCTTAAATTTGTAATCTTAGGTAAACTGCATATAAATGAAAAAAGCCAGTGTTCATCCACTAAGATTAATCAACAGCACTTCAAAATTCACCTCTTAAGCGCTGTGCCTGCAGCAAGGTTTCACAAGACAAGTCACCCAGAGTTTTTCTTCCCACCTCTGGCTTGCAGAGCAGCTTTCGCAGCCACTTCAAAAACCTCTCTCACTCCATCTTTGGTCTTTGCTGAACACTCCATGTACCCCAAAGCGCCAGTCCCCTTGACCATATCTCTGCCCTCTTCGCGTCTCACCCGCTTCTGCTTCCTCTTGGCTAGCTCCTATCTTGTGTGCACATCATTCCTAAGATCGTTCTTGGTCCCCACCAGGATGATGGGCACATTGGGACAGAAATGCTTGACTTTTGGTGTCCATTTCTCTGGGATGTTTTCTAAACTATCAGGGTTGCCAATGAAGAAACATGTAAGTATAACACCAGTGTCTGACTGAAAGAGGGACCTCAGGTGATCATCATCTTTCTGCCTGGCTGTGTCCCACAAAGTCAGCTCTACCCGTTTCCCATCCACCTCGATACGGGACACATAGTTCTGAAACCCTGAGGGTGCGTACCCCTCTGGGAACTGCTCCTTGCTGAAGACAATGAGCAAGCACGTCTTGCCACAGACTCCGTCACCGACAATTACCAGCTTCTTCTGGATGGGAGCCATTGCTGGAGGACACTGGCCTGGGTGGCTGAAATTGTGCAAAGTACCTTGAACTTCTCAGAGGACAGGCTCAGGCGACGAATCGGAGTCCAGTCTCTTCGTGCCCAGGACGCGAGTCGCAAGCTGGGAAAGCAAGGCTGGTAACTGAACAGGAGACCACGGACTCACGAGAGAACCGATGGAGGACGCAGGAAGGGAGCGCGAGCCACCCAGGGCGGGCGGCCTCTACCTGATTTGAAAACTCTTACAGGTGGTGATTCTTTCTCTTTTTATCTTTGGTAGTCCTATTGAAAAACACGTTTATCTGTGTGTTTGTTCATCTGTGTCTTTGTTCAAGTGTGTTTCTTGTACTCTTTTCTTCTGGTTTCAGTTTTACTCGTGCTCGTTTCTTCATCCTCCCTTACTAGTTCTTTCAGGTAGGGTCTGTGAGTGGTAAGATATCATTTTGTTTTTTTAATGTTTGGAAATGAATTTGTTTTATCTTTATTTTAGAACGCTAGTTTATCTGGATTTAAGATTTTAGTTGACCTTTAATGCTTCAACATATTAAAGGTATTTTCATTGTCTTCTGGCATTTATTATTGATGTTGAAAAGTGTAACGTTCTAATTCTCTTGCCTATCTAGCACATCTGACTTGTTTCCTCTGAGATATTTTTTTTTTCTTTCTTTGGTGTTCTGCAACTTCACAAGTATTTGTGAATTTGTTTCTAGTTATCCTCTTCAGATTGTTTTTCACCTTTCATCTTTGATCTTGTTTTTAAATGTTCACCTCTAGAAAACTATCAGAAATTTTCTCATCAAATATCTTTCTGCCGTCTTTCTCTCTTACACTTATACCTTATTTTTTAAATCTATGATACATTTATCTTGAATCACTTTTCATATTTTCTATAACTTTATATTTATGATGCTTTATTCTAAGTGATTTTCTAAGAACTCTTTCCCAATTTATTAATCAGCTTGATATTTATCTACTTCACTATTTTGCAATGGCTATAGTTTTATTCATTTTTGAAAGAATATTTATAATATATCTTCAGTATTTATCATATCTCTGAAACATTTTAGTTACAAAGTTCTACAATACATCTCTGACAACTATTTCACATGATTAATAAATGTTGTAACATTCAAGAGAGGAACAGACATTGACCTAGATAACATTGAAGGTTTCATTACACTCTATATATGCTTGTGAAGTTTTTGAAATAATTATGAAAGCATATTTATTTGGGGTTAATGGCCAGATGTATTTTCCCTGCCAGTCATTAACCCTCAAGCCGTGTCTCACTCCTAGGTCATTACTGTAATTATAAGCAAACATTTAAAAGGCAGCATAGGTATACTAGTGTGTGTATATATGTGTGTGTATATATATGTGTGTGTGTATATATAGATATATATTTGCACATAGGTGGTGTTATCATATTTGGTATGTATAGGGGACATCTGAAACTGTGTGTTCAATTCATTAATCACAAAAATTGGTTGATTAGATTATCTTTCGTTTTTAATTCACATTGTAATTAACTTGTAAGTTCAGTTGGAGTGATGTAATAGTATCAAAAGCCACTTTTAATTATAAACATTATATTGTAGTTAAGTAGATTGAAAGTTTACTATTAAATTGAAAACAGGTCTTATTAGGAACATTTAATTCTGGCAAAGAAAATGACAATGTGGCATTTATGCTAATCATGTGGAGGTACAGATGTTAAAGAGAAAAGGGCTTGTTCCTTGTAGAGTATTTCGTACCATGTGTCCCAGTAAGAATATCTTCTCTTGGACTTCCTTTAGATATTGTAACAGCTGCTGAGTCTCTGATTGGGTATGAAGCCCTAACTCTGACTCCCACTACGCTAGTTCAAACAGAATTAAGTCAGCAGAGCCACCACACAAACTCTCCTTTTAAATTGAGCTACAAGGGTAAGAGCTGAGTGATTATTGTATCTAAGATCTATTTTTTCTTCCCACCAAATTAACCCCCCACAACCCACTTTCTACCATTCAGTCTGTACTTCTGTTACCTTCTGTTGGAAAATATTTAGCTTTTTTTTGGCATTGAGCCTAGTGTTTTTCTGTGGGTATACTTGTACATATGTTTGTACTCAGAATTTATCTTATATTTTCTTTAATACTACTAACAATACATTTTAGTTGAATATTTTCTAATTCAAAATAATTACTCAATGTTTGTTTTTTACTCAAATGTCATTCATATTATAAACAGTATGGGTCTTGGTGGCCAACCTGACCATGAAACGCATAGAACTTGCAGATACCCTGAAAATAAACCAGGCATTTAGATGGTGACCTGTTCAGCTTTTATTTGTACTTTATCTATTTTTCAGACTCCACAATCATAAAGCAGCCAAGAAAACCAGGAATTTTGAAGAAAGTCAAGAAAATTACTGAAGGCCAAGAAATTAAGCCTAGTGGACAATTCACCTAGCATAAGAAGCATGGTGGACTATAAAGACATTGATCACTGAAGTTATGTATACATGCAGAAAAGAGAGTCAGAAAGCATATATTAAATAAAAGAGAAAACCAAAATTGTTTTGAAATTATCTCTCTTGCAGAAGATTTGGGGAGCTTTGCCACTTAAATTTTCTGATTCTGTTTTGATGCATTTATTTTTTAAATTAACGGCCTATGGGGACCTCCATTTTTGGCAAATTAAGTTACTACCTTCCAATTTTAAATAACCCCAAATCCAGGAATCAATGAAGTCAAGCTGTAAATTGTGTTCATGTCCATAGAGAAGCAGAATAAGTTTACAATAGTGGAGAACACCAGATTTAAAATCAGATGGCCTCAACTGGAATTCTGGCTTTGCCCCTTACTCTCTATGGGATCATGGGAAAAGCATTCAAATTTTCATTTTTTTCTTATATAACATGGGAATAATATAATTTGTAGGATTATATTTTACAAGTTAATAAGTTATTATTTCTTATAAACTATAAAATAAATTTACAGTTACAAATTTTGCATAATGGAAGGACAATATATGGAATAAAATTTTTAGTCTTCTACAAAGATAATAAACACAAAGATCACATTATACAAGCTAACCTTCAGAAGCTTTGGAATCCCTTTCTTTGGAGGTCACCAAACATATTATAAATCACCATCTGTTTGAGATGGTTCAATGCAGAAAATCTAGACGCAACAGCAAAAACAAGCTAAGTTTAGAGACTCCTTTCCAGCTTTATATCTTTTATATGTTGAGTAGCATAAAGGTATTTATATTTTTTCTCTTTGAAGATAGTTATCATTAAAGGCTATGAATTAGCAGGATTTTCTTGGTGGAAATAATTTATAAAGTTATATATTTTTATTTTAAGTTGTTTTCAATATCTAAATTTCACATAAACACGAACACTGGTAGTATTCCCAAAATACTAAACTCTTTAGATTACTAGATAAAATGCATAATGAATTAAATATATCTTTGCTTCCAAAAACTTAGGATGGACAAAGTTAGTCCCTTTGTGATTAAAAGCCAGAGTTGTGAATTAGCCAAAGGGTTTCCCTGGCCATCATTCTGGATATAGATCTTCAGTGAAATTTTGGTAATACAACAATAGAAACAAATCTGACCAAGTATCCAACAGAGTAACATTAGAACCCACAACTGCCCAGGTTGCAAACTGTAACTCTACATAGCTCTGTTTTCCAGAATACTAAACTTACGTATTTGGTGTCGTGGTAGAGAAACAGACACCCCTACCTTATCCATCATTATTATTTATCAGAATGGATACAAATATGTCCAAATGTCTTAGCTTGAGACAATGTCCCAGTAATCCCAGTTATCTCATAGGCATTATTTTATTATTTCTTTTCCCTTAAAGGTTTCCACATCTCAACTGTCCTGATGCCACTGAACCATTTGTGCTATCATACTGCTGCTTTTATTGACACCTTTATTTGTGTGTCAATTCCCAAACTGGTGTGGCACCATGAGCCCTGGTTAGACATACACCTTACCTCTCCTTAACAGGATGGCAAAGGTGCTCTATCCAACTGTCTCAGTACCCCATGCTATGGCTGTGTCTTTCCTGGGCTCTGGGTATCTTTCTGTTTGGGACAGCTAATGAAACTCTCTAGTAAAGCTACTGTCTCATACTTTTGCATAACTTTGTGTCCTAGCAAGGTAAACATTTTTGGGAAAACAACTCACAAATTTTAAATTCCTTTTTCATACTTCATCATCCGAGGGATAATGGTGGGATTCAGTTGATTTTAGTCTCCAACATGGATTGAGGTACATTGTCAAGACTTAACTCTCTCATCCCAAACCCTTCCTGTGTCTCCTTTCTAACCAATGTAATTCTCTTTACATATGTATCTATTTGCCCTAAACACATACAGTTTGGAATTCTACATTTGTACTATTCCTTCTTGTCTGCCACCAACATATAATATCTAATCTACCAGGCTCCCAGTTTCTTCTCAGGAAAATTTCTGCACAACCCCTCAGGAAGGAATGTACTTAATGAATTATGAGTTATTATTTTCTGTACTAGTTTATAAATTACTTTAAAATAATATGAATAAACATTATATAATTTCATTAGTCGATTTATTAAGTCGATAGATAATTAATTTAATACTTATAAAGTACCTATTACTAATACAGAAATATAAAACTAAAAATGGATTTTTTTCATAATATTATTTTATAAAATAAATGAGCCTATCATCCTGAATAAAATTTCCAGTTGGTGGGATGATAGTTCACAGTGGACACTCTCTCCCATCCCTACCCCACAGCACTTCTATCTAGCAGGAGACATGCTATGACTGATATTTCCAGGTCTCAACTGACACTGCCAGTGGTTAGAAGCTCCTTATCTGTCGTTTACAGTCACAATGTGATAAAGTCTTGGAGTTTCACCAAATCTTTTACAAAACTTTTGAACAAAGAATTAATTGACTAAATCCCTTCCAATGTGTTTCTCCTGCCCCAGGATGGTACCAAGTAGTGAAATGGGGTAAGAGGCAGAAAAAAGTTAAGTGTCTGAGTAATCCACTGTTGGACAATCAGTCTCCATATTGTATCAGATGGGGATGTGGTAATGCACTTTTTCTGATTTCCCAGTTCTGTAGCTCCACTTATTGAAAGAATAGCTTCTATTATTGGATTTGACAATCCTCCTTTTCTCTTTTCTTGCCAAAATATTCATGCAATTTCAAAATGGGAAAGTCTTGAGTAACACTCACTTCAAAATAGAAGACTCATTTAGTTTTTGTTTTTGTTTTTTTTTGATAGCTTTAACAAGTAACAATTATCTCCTGTGTCTATTCTACATTATTTCTTTAACATTTCTCGTTATGGTCTAAAATGTTTGGCCTTGTCTTGATAGTGATGGCTATACCAAATAGTCTCATTCATTTAGGATTATAGCACTATAAATAAAGTGCATGGCTTTCTTTTTCTGACTATAATAAATATTTATTAATCTAATTAGTACATAACAGTTGAGAATTTTGGAAATTAGATACTGCAAAATATTTTTTTTAGCAGTATGCCCTTTCTATCCTCATGGTCTCTGGTATAGGAAATCATGCCTGTTTCAATATGTTTGCTTCTGATATCATGTTTCAATGTCATTTCCAATGAACAAAGGAATCGCTGTACTAGGAAAACTGGTTACATTATTTAAGGAATTATACAATTGACTTTTCCACAAAAGTATAAAATTAAGTTTCTGTTAACAATTTATGAACAAGTATACACACACAGAGACACACACATACATACACACAGACACGCACACAAAAGCCACCAAAGTTTTTACTTGAACACAGAAATTAATCTAGATCTTTGAGAGCAAGGAGCTCATGGTGAACTTCATTACAAAAGTCACATTATTCTGACATAAAATAGAACCTGACATTTGGCCTAATTATACTTTTCAAGTCTTTAATATTCTGCTTATCATTATGGATATTTAAATAAAGAAAACTCTTCTGATACCTTTTGCCCTTTTTCTGTTTCATAGTCTTCTTTGAATTAAAAAGGAAATTAAGGTTTTCTCAACTAGAAGTTTTAATAGATAAATGAATAATATATTTAAAAATAATGCTAAAACTTACCCCTAATAATTTAAAACAAGGGTATATTTTTATATTAAGTAAAGCATCTATTGCTTTCTCAAATATCTTCTGAAAAGAATAGAGTCAGAAATCCTTTATTATGATTCTAGGCAACTTTGAACTTTGACTTATTCAATCTGAGTCATCTCTAAAACTTTTAGGGTTTTTGTCATCATTTTGCTATATATCCTTTAATATTACTTTAATGGATTGGCACAAATCAAAGAGTAGACTGCCTTCCAGTGATTCATCTCATTGGACTTAGTTAAGTCCAGAGGGACATGCTACATTTCAGACTGTCAGGTTGATTTATATGAAAGAACATAGTCATTTACTTAGGTGTTACATTAACTAGACAGCCAAACCAGATCAATGATTTTGGCATTGTAGAATTCTACAATACTCCTAAATTTGAAAAAAAAATAGAATTATTGAAATGAAATTTATTTTTCTTTCTCTTTTTCAGATTTCATTTCTTTAATTTTAAATTCAGGGATACGTGTTGAGGTTTGTTACATAGTTTCAGGGGGATTTGTTGTACAGATTATTTCATCACCCAGGTATCAAACCTAGTACCCATTAGTTATTTTTATATTTCCTACCATATGCTTTTATTATATACCAGGGCAATATTCTATAATATTTGCAATCTTCATACATTTTTATGCAAACATCAATAATTCATATATAGAAAGATTAATTAATGAGACTACTTAGGTAATTGAATCACAGCATATTTTCTTTAAACAAGATGAAATTATTAAGGCGAATAGAAAGTTGTTAAATATTTATGGGATCAACTAAAGTAAGAAAAAGGAGTAGTTTTACTTCAGGAGTATAAACTAAATATAACTACTTATATTTGTCTACATTCTCTATAATTGAGCATGTATTCATTTTAATATGTAAAAACAATAGATTAGGTTTGGTATATGCTTTGTTTCATTCTACTTTAAGGTAAAAATGTAATTCTTGCAATGGGTAATTCGCCAATTTTTATAGTTTAACTATTTAGTTCTCTATTCCATGTGTGCACACCAATCATTAATTATTGGTTATATTTTTATTATGTATAACTTAAACTTTCTTATAAAAATTGGACCTTAAACTCATCATATGCAAAGTCATAATAGTACCCTCTCCTACATCAGAAGCAATTTCTCCTACTTTCATTGTTTGTTTCATACACCCTTGTGCTCTCATTTTCTAAGACCTGAAAGCTGAAAATCATTGGCCTTCTCTCCCTCAGAACATCTAAATGTTTCTAGGATTTACCAAATTCATCTCTAATGCATCTCTCCAAGCATTTCCTCCACCAAGTACTCTCTATTTTAATTGTTTCTTCTCCTTTGTTTTTGTTTCTCTTATTTTTGACTACATAATTATTTCTCCAAATTAGCATCCACAACATTGGTTTCTCTTTGCTTAATCAATTTTATGTTATGCTG